CCGCCCCTGCTTCTGGACTGACCAATCGCGCGGTGCCGGCCGCTGCTGCACCCAATCCGCGCGTGAGTCGCCCGCAGCCTCCCGCGGGGCCCGCCTCCGGAGCTGCAGCATCTTTCTGCCAGCGGCCGGGGCGGGGCGGGGCCGCCGCGCGTTGGTCAAGGACCCTGGGGCGCCCCCAATTCCTCCCCTGGGTGGGAGGACTCGGGTCTCGGGATCGCTCGGGGACCTGAGTAAGCTAAATACAGTCCCGACCACCCGCTCTGGCGTGAAAGCCCCATCGACGGCCTTGCGGGTGAGGAAACGAAGGTCCAGAGAGGGAAGTGACCATCTCCAGGTCCCCCAGGGAGTCTGGGGCGCGCAGTTACTCAACACTAGTATTTAACACGTCCTACGGGCCCGGCCCGGAGCAGTGCTAGGCCCGGGGACTTAGTGGTGAATGAGAGGGAGGAACGCGGCCGCTAGGAGATCTTTTAAAAGCATACATGGGATGATGTCACTCGCTTAAAGCCTTCACTTCTCGCCATGGTCCAGGCCCTTCTGCCCACTCTCCGGCCGCACCCCAAACCACTCTCCATACCCCCACTGCACAGCCACAGGGATCCCCGCTAGCGCTTAGCCACCAAACACTCTTGGGGCTCAAGCAGCCTTGGGGCTGCTGCAAGTGCTGTTCCCTCTGCCTGCCGTCCACTTCCTTCCTCCTGCTCAGGGCTCCCACTCCTCATTCTCGGCCACATTGCCCTTGTTTCACCTCCTTCATCACAGGCGACACTGCCGGGTATTGTCTCGTTCACTTGTTTATTAAGCCGCCTCCTAGGATGGGGTATCAGGAGGGCAGAAACCGTGATAGGCTGGTTTCCTGGCTCAGCACCTGGCACGAACTGGTGTTTGGTAAGTAGAGATTGAACCAACATGAGTAGCATGTGCAAAGGGCCTCGGGGAGTCCCAGGAAGTGAAAGGCGGGTGTGGTAGGGGGTGGAGTGAGTAGGAAAGAGCAAGGGAGCAGCAAGGGCGCAGGCTCCTGCTGGCCATGAGGGGTGAGGGGTGGGGAGCGGGACAAGCATTGTAAAGTGCCTAAGATGCTCAGATGTTTTCCAAAGGTCACTGGTTGTCATCCAACCAATCTGGAGGGGGCTAGAGTGGGCAGAGGGCGAGTACGAGGAAACCTTTGGTGATTTAGGGCAGAAAATGATGGCTTTGCATCCAGGTGGCGGGGGAGGGGAGAATTCAAATTGACAGGATTTGAGGTCTCGTGGATGGGGGCTGCAGGAGAGAAAAGCTAAGGTCAGTGATGTCTGCCAAGCTTCTGGCTGGGGTCAGGGACACAGAATGCCAGTCATGAGCGGGGAGAGTCAGATTTGGGGGGCGGGGTCTGAGAATTCAGATCATGACTGGATGAATTTGAGGTGCCATGACACTCAGTGGGAACATTAGGTGGGCGGCTGGTGCATGTGCAATACATCAGGGCTCAGGCAATAGCCGGGCTGGAGACAAGCCTGGTAAAGACCAGGTCACCCAGGAAGACTGTGGGATGAGAAAGCCTGTGACAGAATTCTGAGGAACCCACCCCCCTCTCCTGGCAGAACAGAGGAGCATGAGACATAAAACATGAGGAGTCATCACAGACACCAAGGACATCTGAGGTGCACCCAGGGGGGATGGCTCAGGCTACATGTGGCAGAGGGGTAAAGGAGATGTGCTTTGGATTTCAGACCAGACATCACTGGTCATCAGAATGGGCGCAGACCTCCTAGAGTGATGCCCAGCACAGTGGAGGTGAGGAAATGCAGGCAGCAGGTGTCAACACCCTTTGGGATGTCTGGCTGTGAAGGGGAGAGACCTGGAGGAAATTACTGGCTTGATGGAGGGTCCCTTAAGTGAGAGCCTGGAACATGTTCATGAAAGGTCTGGGAAGACCTTGTTGAGAGATGGAGGCTCTTCCCAGGAGAGGGGGATCATTAGAGACAGGAGGTTCCTGCTGTCGCAGTGGGAAAGGACAAGGACCCAACCCCCAGGTGAGCAGCTCTGCCTGGACTGGAGGGCCAGGAGAGGGCAGGACAGGGGTGCCTGCAATTGGCCTTTGTCCTGAGAATGACATCTCCGCTAACTGGAGGAGTGAACGTCCAAGGTGGAGGCTTATGTTAGGCACTGTGAATGGGAGAGCTGGCTGCCCAGAAGGGGTTGCTGAGGGGCTAGGGCTGGGCCTGTGCCAGATCAATCAACCTGAACACAGTGGAAGCAACCCTACTCTGGCTCAGAGCTACATTAAGTTGGGCAGCTGGTACAAGAGATGGACAACAGGTTTGGGCTTTTAGGGGACTGGGCTGAGGGTTCCTAAAATACTAGTTCATGCCGGCTGGGCTGACACAGTGAAGGCATGCTGAGGGTGATGTGGAGTCTGGCAGATTGCCATGCCTCTGCTCCCCAGCCGTGAGCTACAGTGGGTTGGAACCACATCTCTCCCAGTTACAGCTTTGTGTCCAGCACAGGGATGATCCAGGAGGCACCTAGGCACTTCATTGCACAAACCAGGGTCTCCTGACCTGAGACCAACGCAGTGGCCAGCTCCCAGCCCCTCTCCAGTCCCCAGCCCAGCTCCCCCGGTCAGGGATGGCACAGAGACAAACACACCATCAACATTTATTGTTCAGCTCTCCCCAACAGGCCAGTGCTAGGGCTAAGGGGCTGGGGGCCCAGTGTGCCTGAGGCCTGGTGATGGTCCCAAGGCCTGTCAGTCCTCCCCCTGGTCTTTCCAGGTCCAGAAGTCCTGTGGGGTTCCTGGCTATGTCAGACTCAGGGAAAGCTGCCTTCATGGAGGAAAAGGACATGTGGGGAGAGGCCACGTGATATCTCAAAACCTGCCAATTTCAACATCATCATGTGACAGGAGGGGAACTGAGGCAAGGGGGTAGAGCACAGAGGAAAAAGTGACAGAGGGTCTGAAGGTGAGGTAGGGAGGACCAGCATCTTTCAGGCCCTGAGCCAGAACAGGGAGAGAGGGGAACTTCCAGGTACTTCCTCCTGGCTCTGGAAGAGCGAGCAGGAGAGAAGTGGGGGTTCTGGTCAGTCAGGAGTGAGTCCTGAACAGCTCCATCCCCAGGGTGTCTGTAGGGCAGCCATGCTTGAGGGGGCTGCAGTGCCAGCACAGGTCCTGTGGGCCCCTGCCCTTGATATGCACTGTAGGGGAGGCAACTGCATCCCTGCTGGGCCCTCACTGAGCCTTTTTGGTCACCTTCTGGTTCTTCAGCATCACATAGGTGATGAACACTCCTGGAATATACAGATCAGAAAGGCCAGGTAAGACCCAGTCTCGGGGCTGCTAGAAGGCCAGAGCAGGGCACAGCATGGCAGAGTGACCCATACATGGGGCCAAGGACCTCCCCAACCACCCTCCAGGCCACCTGATCATCTCCCTAGTCATCATCAAGCCACACATTCACCCACATTCACTCAACAAACACCACTGACTGCCTACCACAGGCAATTTGCTACATTTAGTGTTTCACAGTCTACAGGATATAAGATCCACCCAACTATCCATCTCACCAGCAACCACCTGTCCACCTACCTGCCTGCCCACCCACCTGCCCACGCAACATCCAGCATCCACCCACCCACCCACCTACTCCATTGTCCAGTCATCTGATTGTTGATTCATCCAAACCACTTTCTTGAGCACCAACTTAGTGCCATGGCCTATGCAGGCGCTGAGGACACAGTAATAATGAAGACAGTCCTAGGATGCCCACACATTAGACCATGGGAGGCAAGAGAGGTACAGGAATCACGAGCCAGGGTGACAAGGGGGTGAGAGGTGATTAAGGTGTGAGCACAGCAGTGATGGTGGTAGTGGAGGGAGCAGGAAAAAGGGAGGCATCCCAATAGAGTCCAGTGAGCCCCAGGCATCTGGAAGGCTGATTGTAGCCCTGAGGGATAAACAAGAAAATCCCCAGGGTGAGTTGAGGGCAAGGAGCCTCAAGCAGATGTCCAGCAAGTGCCAAAATGTGGCCACACATTCAGGGGTGGGAAAGGGTCATGGGGCCCCCCAGACAGCCTGCCCAGGGGAATGATGACTTACCCACAAACAGGAGCAGCAGGAGGCCAACAGCTAGTGGGATGGCAACGGCATAAGCTCGGGGCAGGAAATACTTGTGGATGACATGCTGGCTGTCGATGAATGGCTGGCATCGAGGGCAGAGCTCTGGTGAGCATTCCCCACCCCGCCCAACTCCCCCAAGCCCAGACATCCACCTCCTCCATCTCAGGGGCTGATCCCACTCAAACCACTGGGACAGCACTTGCATTTCTTTAAGATGATGGCATTTGTGTGCCTTGTTGTTTTTCTTCATTTATTTAAGAGTTGTTTACTCCGTATTTGCCCTAAGTTAATGCTGGGGACCTGGCAGGGAACAAAGATAAAGGACTTGCTCTAAGTCCCTCACAGCCTAACGGGAAAAGGGTACCTGAGGAAGCCTGGAGTGATTCCCAACCTGGGCTCCAAGCTCTCCTTTACTAACATTTTCCTCCAAAGGATACCAAGTTCTGCAAGACTACCTTCGAAACACACTGCACTTCTTAAGCAGAAACAAACCCCCATCCCCACCCCAAATCCTAAAGGCCCTCACAAAATCCACCGGCACCCATCATGCCCAAGGAGTCAGCAGGATAATCAGAAGGACTAGATCTGCCATCAAAGGCAGAGCAAATCAGGATCAGGGCTTTACAGTGTAGCAGTTAAGGATATGACCTTGGGCCCAACCCTTCTCCCTGAGCCTCAGCTTCCTCATTTATAAAATGGGGACAGCACCAGCATCTCCCTCGTGGTGCTGTTCTGGAGATTTCATGAGATATTCAAACAAAGCACCTAGCACAGTTCCTGTCACATAGTAGCTCCTTAAATGATGTTACGGGTCGGCTGCAAGATCCATGAATGGAGGCGAGAGAGGGCGGGGAAAGTACACATACCAAGAGAATCACCCAGGCGGTGTAGTAGGTGAAGATGATGAGGCTAACGGCGACGAGGCCGAGTCCCACCACCTGGTCTGTCCCCGTGGCCTGGAGAAAAGGGAGGGCTCAATTGACGAAGCGACTCCACTTAGGTGTACTAATGGAGGGGGCGTCGCAGCCTGATTATGCCGGCAAGGAGAGTGCCGGGCCTCGGGTTTTCAATGGGCCGGCGGGAGCGCAATCCCGGTTTCGAGTGCCCAAGCCCCGGTTCCCGAACAGACCAGGGACCCCCATCCCCAGCATTCAGCCAGACGCTCACCATTTCCCCGCGCCCCGCTCCGGAGCGCCACGCCACATCCGGTTCCGCATCCGGGCCCTTCTGGCCTTCGGCCGCATGGCACGCCGGGAGTCGTAGTCCTTACGCCGGCCCGCGCCCACAGGTTCCGACAGGCGGGCACCGCCTCTCCCTTTGCATGTCGGGAAATGTAGTTTCTCCAGAGGATTGTGTGACAAGTTGTTCCCAAATCTGCTTAGGTAATGGGGCCCGTTGAGGGTCCAGACTGGCTGGTATTCTCTGGCCTCAGCCCTGTCCAACTCGCCCCAGAAGAAAAGCCCCTTTCTAAATATCCCAAAGTCCCAAGGCCAGAGCGGGACGGGGTGGGGGCCAGAATCCTCATTTTTCAGACGGGAATGGTGAGGCTCAGAGAGGGGCGGGGCCTGAAGGGGGACCAGAGTTCGAGTCCGTGGCGAGGCCAACACCAGAACCTGGGGCCCTACGTCCTGGTCCCGGGGCCCTAACTCGTCTTTCTAGGGGAGGATGCTGAGAACGTGTCCTGGAGGGGGGCGGAGCAGGGGTGGCCCGAGCCCGCAGGGGTGGGAGGGTTTCGATTGGCT